AAAAAAAAAAAAATGAATCCATTACTGAGCCTACAGGGCCAAGCCATCAGGTAGCCCTGGTGCTGAGATTGCATTTCCATTTCCAGGTGGATGGTGTACCGCCAAATCATGGATAGCTCTGAATGTTTTCATGCTGCCCACTTCCAGAAATACCTTTCTAGTGCCCTGGAGGCCCAACAGAATCGCTCTGCCCGTCAATCAGCCTACATCTGCAAGAAGACCAGACTGCTGGTAGTGTTACAAGGGTAAGCATTTGACATCTGGGTACAGTTGGGTAGGGTAGTAACCTTGGCATTACTATTACTTAATGTGTAGCAAACCTGGGGCACAGAATAAACCTTGCATGGGCACAAACACTGTCCATGCTACACAGACAGGCTAGGCCTTGATCCAACAAGCATCCTATTACCATATTGTGGGTTAGAGTGGCTAGTGTAGTTTACATAAGTTTTAGGTTTGGTTTCAATACCAGAAGGTGCAAATTAGGGAATCTATTCAAGGTTCTCTGATAATTCTTGGAACAATAGTGGTCTCTAACCCTCTTTCTTTGTCATCTATATAAGGGGGCCTCATCTGTTTTACTCCTTCCTCCTGCAGAATTGCAGAGGTGGCTCCTATACTCAGCTGTCTGCAGTACTCCTATTCCCTGTATGGCTAGCTCTGAAGGGTTTCTTAGGACCCTCAGTAAGGAGCATGTATTGACCAGTTAGGTAAGAAGCCCCCTGTTCATGACTGGTATAGGACCATAATTATAGCCTCCCAGCTCCTTAAGTCCCTGTGTAAGTAGGATTATCATGGGCATGCAATATCTAGGCAAGTACTCTACTACTGTCAGGTTTGACAGAGCATATACTACTGTCCTGACTGAACGATTGTCCCTTGACCTGTTGTTCTCAGGCCTCTAGGGAGGAGCCCCTCACAGGTCCATTATCATCTGGGCCCAGAGAGGAACATGCCAGGCCAGGAAAACATGTGCTCTGCCTTTCACTCTTTTATTATGGTTGATAATAAAGAAGCTTTTGGATGTTCTCACAAAGTGCTTTTGTGCTATGCTACATTTTTTGTGGTCATAATAATCAGTGTTTGTAATAAGTTAGTCATTTCCAGTAAAGAATGGGCCAGTATCCAAGGCCCTGTTGGGCACCTGGCTGTGATGATGGGAAGTTGAAGGAGCTGGAATGGTGGTCCCAAGGAAGAGGCAGGTGGAACTGTGCATATTCAGGGCCATCATGCATTGGCAGACCTTGTTATCACACCCTTCCTCCATCTTCTCTTCTGTCAGCCCTCTTGTCCTACCTGTGAGCTCAGGTCATGGAAACTACAGAGGAAGAGTCTAGACATGAAACTACTTGATTTTTTCAGGTTTTTCATTACTTCTACTGGTCAAAGGAGTGGGTTGACCCAGCTTCATCACCTGCCCCTGCCAGAGTTGAGAGTCACTGGGATTGTGGACCTGGAGGGAAATTTGGCAGCTTGCCACTGTGCAGCTGAGGTCATTTTCACCCTCCATCATTTTAGAGAGCATCATTGACCCCTTTTCTTTGACTTTACAAGCCTGAAAAAGTGTCAGCTGTCTCAGAGTCTGAATTGTAATACAATAGATGATCTCTCTCTCTCTCTCTCTCTCTCTCTCTCTCTCTCTCTCTCTCACACACACACACACACACACACACACACACACACACACACACAGAGCCACCTCTGCAATTCTGCAGGAGGAAGGAGTAAAACAGTCATTTTAATGCAATAGAATTTCCCTTGGGAGGTTCTACACAGGATTCTCTTGATGACCAGAGTGAATGGCCAAGGACCTTCTCTTTTGGGGAAGTCCCAAATGCACAAGCCTTATCAAAGAGCCTGCAGCCTGTTTTTACTCTAACCTTTTCCACTAAAATTAATGAAGATTAACAGATGCTCCATTAATCTCCAGGTTCCCCAGCCACCCTTTCTAAGGGAAATTCTATTGCACTAAAATGACTGAAATCCTTGTGTGTGTGTGTGTGTGTGTGTGTGTGTGAGAGAGAGAGAGAGAGAGAGAGAGAGAGAGAGCGCAATAGATAGACACTGGCAGTTGAACCCAGTCCTCTTAATTTTTTATTTGAGGCAGGGTCTCTCTAATTTGCTGAGGTTGACCTTGAACTTGTAATACTTCTACCTCAGCCTCTCAAGTAGCTGAGTTTATATCCTTGAGATTAATAGGACTCTATTGCTTATAATGAACTTGGACAAGAAAGAACCTCCAAGCACCAAGAAAGGGAGGCTCCAAGAAAGAGCCTCCCTTTTCAGAAGGGGGAAAAGTTATTGTTGAGGAGTGCGGTTGAAAGTTAAATCCATTTAATGCTCCCACAAAGATCTTTGGAGCAGGCAATATGCAAGTGTCYGTCCCATTTACCATGTGTGCTGCTATCAAGACTTGGCAGTGCCTACAGTGTGTGGTGCTCTCCTGGTATCCAGGCCTACCCAGGCACTACAGTGGAAAGATCCCCATGTGACCATCCATACACACATGTCCAGACAGGGAGAAAAGCCATCAAGCAGAGGGCTTGCTCTCAAAGCATGCGCATGGGCAGCTAAACTTAAGGTCTTTTGTGTGAATTTCCAGAGATACCAAATAAATAAAACACAGACACACACTTAACCTTTAAACAAACTTCAGGAYGGCTTCTCCGCTCTCAGCTCCCCAAATAGGAGACCAAGAGAAAGTCATGAAAGGCTGGCAAGAGAGATCAAGCACTTTTGGAAGTGGGCTTTTACTGGGGGGACCTTTATTCTTAGAAAATTCCRTCCAAAAAAGGTCAGAAGGGGGACAGAGTTACAAAGGACAGGTGGGGCCATGGGGAAACACGCCTAAGGGTCCATGGGGCAACACGCCTACTTCTGAAGACGTGCCCTCAGACTTCGGGACAGGGCAATGTGCAGGTCACTACAAGGTGTAGTGAAGGTCAAAGCCTCTCCGCTCCAGGATGGAGGGCGTGAATCTATTCAGAGTGGCTCCCCACAAAGCCTTATGGGGGAAATCCCCGAACACCAAGGCCAAGGACCGAACTGAGGGCCTTGTGTATGCTAGGCAAGTGCTCTACCACTGAGCAAAATCCTCAACTCCTCATACGGAAACTCCTGAACTTAGCACCCCTTGTCCTCTAATGAAGTTCTGCTGACTGGACAGGATTGAGGCCAGACCTGGGTAGGAGGTAGGAGATGTTGTAGTGTGGAATGAAGCCAAGGGCTTTTTTGCAGGTGAGTTGTTTGTAGAAACTTAGGAAATGGCTCAGGCAGGCTTTACCTTCCCCCACCTGCCACTGACTTCCTAAGGGCACAGAGAGACCCAGGCTGATCTAATACACAAGGCTGTGTGTCAGGTTTGACTTCCCTCCACAAAAACAGACCTTTTGGTGATAGTCTAGGTCAGTTGGGACAGTGTGAGTGTTGTCCACCATGTGAAGAGGGCAGGTCCCCTCTGTGTGGCCAAGGGTCTACAGTGGGGCAGGGTGGGGTGCCAAATGTCCCTACCCTGTTCGTCTACTCTACTTTAGGCACTAGGGAGTATAGCACACAAAACTACATTTTCATTGCAGACCATCAGTAAACAAATGAGAAAAGAAAACATGTAAGAAAAAGACACAATAAAAGAAAAACCCAACAAAAATAATAAAAAGAGCTTACATAACTAATGATCAGTGCTTTTAGGGGGGAAAAACTGGGGGAAAAGAGCATGGAGTTCCAAAAGGGAGTATTGCTGTATTGAACACAGTGTATGAAGTCAGAGGATGCCTCTCATAAGATGCCATTTGTGTGTTAAAGCACTTACCTAGCATGCACAAGGCCCCAGGTTCAATCCCAAGCACTGCAAAAATGAAAACAACAAAAAAAATGCCACTTGAGCAGAGACCTGAAGGGAGAAAGGGATCGAACTGTCAGATATCAGAAGAAAAGAGCATTCCAAGTAGAGGGGAAAGGAGAATACTAAGTAGAAGTATGCCTGGCATGTTCAGGGAAGAGCCAGGAGGCCAGAGTGGTGGGATTAGGGGAAGGGACAGGATGGTAGATGAAATTCTTCCCTGTATTGTGGGGGATTAGATCATAAAGGGCTACCTGACTTATTGTTAAGGGCTTTGGCTTTCAGACTGGGTTTTGAACAGTGATGCCATTATCTGACTGTGGGGTTAGTATATCCCTCTAGCTTCAGTGCTGAGAACAAATTGGAAGGAGGAAAGGACAGAAGTAGGGGACCAGCTGGGAGGCTGTTGGCATGATCTAGGCAGGAGATTGTAGCAGTTTGGACTCACTGGTACTGCAGGTATGTGAGCAATAATCTCTTCTAGTTGCATGTTGAAAACTGAGAAAAAATGGAGTCAATGAAGACTCCAAATACATCTTTTAGCCTAGCTTCTGAAAGAGTATAGAGTCCCCTCTAATAAGGAAGACACAGCCTTGGGAGGAGCAGACTTGGAGGAGTCAGATTATGAACTATTAGGTTCAAAGTGAAGATATTCAAATTGGCTCTAAATCTGGGTTTTGGAGGAAATTCCAAGCAGAAGACAAGAATGCAGTCAGTATTTGACACATCTACTGCTCTGAACAGTTCTGATGATCTTTTTTTAATATATTTTTTTTAGATATTTATGGACCTTTCTTTTATTCATTTATTTATGTTGCTGTTGAGAATCAAACCCACTGCCTCACACATGCTAGGCAAGTGCTCTACCACTGAGCCACAACCCTAGCCCCTCTGATGATCCTTTGAAGTGGGAAGGAGGGGAAAAGAGCAACTAAAGAAAATAGACCTCAGCAGGAGATCCTAACTTGATTAGAAAACATGCCCCAAAGCTGGCCTCTAATCCCAGTGACTCAAGAGGCTGAGGTAGGAGGATCTCAAGTTTGAGAAACCAACAACAACTTAGCATGACCCTGTCTCAAAATAAAAAGTAAAAAGGGCTTGGAATGTAGCAGTCTTGGGTTCAATCCCTAGCATAAAAAAAAGGGATCTGGGAAAAAACAGGCCTAGGGACATCAAGTAGGGGAGCCCTATAATCACCGCAGGCTTCCTTTACCCCATGAACAGGTTGGCTCTTCTACCCATTCTTTCACAGTTAGGAGGACTAACAGAACTTGGGAATGTAGAAGTACTTTGGGGATTCCTGGGATTCTGAATTACGAAGTTGAATAACAGACTCCAAGGAACCCAATTATAGGCTCCTCTTATTGGTCTTCCTTCTGTCCATGCTGACTCAGCCACTCAGTATGCCTCTTACCCATCTCTGTAGCTCCAACCAGTATTCCTTTTTTCCCCCTCAGCTACACGGATATAATTGATGTCATCCAGGCCCTGCAGACCCACCCAGACTCAAATGTCAAGTCCTTCTTCACCATTGGTGCCATCACGGTTTGCATGGAGCCCCTGAGCTGCTACATGGAGCACAGGTAAATATTTAGGACCACCTTAAGCCCATGGGATGTGGTGTGAGTAAATGTATGGAAATCGACATTTTCCTTACCCACCATAAGACAAATATTTATGTATGTTTGACTTTTGGAACACATCAGTGTGCCTTGTATGTAATAAGTGCTCGGTCACTCTTTGATTAGTGCTAGGTCATCAAAGGACCCAAAAAGCCCAAGGGAAAGGAGAGTCAATATTGGGTACAGTCTTAGCCTTTGTGAGGACAAGAACCATTTCCATTTAATACTTAGTATATAGTGCTCATAAAATATCTATTGAGGGATGGAGATGTGGCTCAGTAATAGAGCACTTATTTACCCATTATGCATGTGAAGCTCTGGGTTTAATCTCCAGCTCTGAAAAGAAAAAGTAAAAGAATGGGTACTCCAGGCTGAGGTTGTGGCTCAGTGGTAGAGCACTTCCCTAGCAAGTGTGAGGCACTGGTTCAATCCTCAGCACCACATAAAAATAAATACATAAAATAAAGTTATTGTGTTCATCTACAACTAAAAAAAAATTAAAAAAAAAAAGAATGGGTACTCTAATATGTGTATACTAAGTGTCCTCAAAGATAGTTTAAGATATTAAAGGTCTSAAAGGGGCTGGAGGTGTAGCTCAAGAACAAAGCCATTGCCTAGCATGTGCAAAGCCATGGGTTTGAAACCCAGCACTGTAAACAAATGAAAAAAAAAAATAAAATAAAATAACCAAGGATGAGCGTATAATATAATCTGTCGGGGCTGGGGATGTGGCTCAACTGGTAGCACACTCGCCTGGAGTGCGTGCGGCCCGGGTTTGATCCCCAGCACCACATACCAACAAAGATGTTGTGTCCGCCGAGAACTAAA